GAAGAAATGATGAAGTAGAAGAGCTGAACAGAAGATTTCAAAAGGTGGCTTGAGAAGACAAAGTAAAGTATTACAACGACATGTGCAAAAACCTGGAGATAGAAAACCGAAAGGGAAGCACACATTCAGCATTTCTCAAGCTGAAAGAACTAAAGAAAAAAATTCAAGCCCACGGTAGGTACTCAATAAATGTGTCCTCCTTCCTTCCCCCTAGTTGACAATTCAATGATCCTTAGTCTCAAGAGTGTCATTTCAATCTCTACTAGATTCCAAACCTCCATGTTTCAAGCTTTACCAGGGCTTTATGGAGGTTTAGTATATCAAGTCATTCACCAAGTTGTTTGGTAACATCCTTAATCACCATTTCTCAAAGTGAGAGTCATTCTCACACCACTCACCTGTGTAGGCCATGCTCTTAGGGTTGCCATAGGGAGCCCCAGGCTGCACGGGGCTGTAAACAGGGTTCATTGTGGAAGACTGAGGATCCTGCAGAGAAAACAAAGAAAACAGCATTGACTACTGATTGCTCAATTCTCCCTGACATCAGCTTCACCTCTATAATCTCCAGTTTATGCTCAAAGGGAATCATCATCATGGTGTTGTGGAAAGAGGACCAAACAAAAAGTTCATTTCTTTTGTACTTGGCCCTATGCTAGATACTTTTCCTATTTTACAGAGAAGCAGAGTAGTGCGATAACTTGCCTAACGTCAACCCAGGCCTTTTGGCTCTCCGTTCAGTTTCACTCCCAATATGCCACAGACTACTGCCACTAGCATACTATGTGGCATTAGTCAAGTCACTTCCCTCTCTATACTTCAATGTCCTGGTGTTAAATGGGAGAATTAGTTTAGGATCTCTGAGTCCCCTTGCAACTCTAATGATGCTAATCCAAGAGCTGGGAAAAGATGTGCTTCTACTGCTCATCACAGGAGCCCAGGTGTCTGGTGATGAGCATACACACTGCTGGAAAGAAGAGCAGAAAATGTCTCACCTGCCCCTCACACCTGCACAGGACAAGATACCAGTTACTAACAGCTTTGAAAAAATGAGAATTTATTGCCATTGATCATTTTAATGCAAACAAAGAAACTTAGCCAGGATCTCTCTCCAAATTTATTCAAAGGAAAGACTCTAGGAAATTTTTGTGCAATAAGTATCACCTGAACAAGTATTCTGGTTAATTATCTTAATGAACCACATTCTCCATTCTGATTAACGGAAAATTCATCATTAAACTCTATTAGCCAGTCAATTTGTCCCACTTTGTTTCAGGAACCATTTCTGACACATAGGCTGACACAAGTTTGAAAATGTGTCTTCAGTTATATTACTTACACATCATAAAAATCAAACGATTCCCTCCTCACTAGGCTCACAGGATAGATGGGCAATTTTGGGGGTCATTAACTTCTCCTGTAGCACCTCAGGATAGGAAACAAGTCAAATGTTGAAGGCAGACAGTCAACAGCTGGTTTGATGACAACTGCTCTGTGATTAATTAGTCTGACCAGGCAGGGTTCTGGACTAAGAGGTGGAGAAATGATGGATTCCCAAGGAGAGGAAGCTGGGACAGTCAGACAGGTAAAAGCTAAAATACTACTGGTCAATTTCAGAGGACAGACTTTCTGGAAATGTACCCCAAGTACAGCCCTGGCAAACCACTCCAGGGCAACAAGCTAGATTAAACAGACATCAGTCGACAAACCGAAAGCAGGACAACTTGGGGATGAAAGTTAAAGGGAGGTATATTTCAGCTCAAGAAGCCCTGGTGGTGCAGTGGTTAAATGCTCAGCTGCTAACCAAAAGCCGGTGGTTTGAACCCACCAGCCACTCTGTGGGAGAAAGATGGAGCAGTCTGCTTCCGTAAAGATTTACAGTCTTGAAAATCCTTGGGGCAGTTTTACTCTGTCTATAGAGTCATGATGAGTCAGAAGTGACTTGATGGCAACAAGTTTTGTTTTTTTTTTTTTAATCTAAGCTCAACTGAAGGAAAAACATATTCTTACAGCCAGTTACCCAAAAACACAGTCAGATAACACTGTATCTCAAAATATTAGCACTCACCTCACAGTGTACTGAGAGAATCACAGTTGTTAAAATACATTGCAAACTATAAAGTGGCGTGCCAATATAAATGATGATGATACAACAATAACACAGGTGATTGCCTGTACACTTTGCCTGCCTTTAATCTCTTGTAAAAATGGTGTGGGGCAGTGTCTGACCTCCTCTAGCTTCAGAAGGGGTAAGGAGGATCAAGATTGACAGTCTAAGGCTGATTCCTATGAGACGGACGTCAGACATGCCTTCTCTCTCCACCATCTTTACCAACTCTGACACCAACCATCCCTCCCATGGCACTCTCTACTTCTCTGCTGGATTTGATAATTCATTGTAATGGCCACAGAGAACTGACCATACTCACGATTATAGGGTTTATTAGAGAAATAATAGGTTACAATTCAGTCTCAGGAACACTCAAGGATACAGTTCTTCCATCAGGACAGCCTCTTCCCACCTGTGCTCGCACGCACACCTTTCCCTAGCCCTCAGTCTCTGCCCAAAGGTACTCAGCTTTCCTGCTCCGTGGGCTAGGAAGCCCACTGCGCTGTCTCCTGCCAGTCTCTCCTTCCTTGGTGGTGGTGGGCTCTTCTCTTTCCCACCTCTGGGGTGACTCATTTCAAGCCCAGTGGGATGGCAAAACTGACCAACTCTTTGGTGGGCCACAATTACTCTACCACACAGTCCCGCCCAATCACCGGGGAGTTAAAAGACCATGGCTAGAAACGCCACACACAAAAGTGATCTATCACACTATATCTCTCCTCTACCCAACCAGTTCTCTACCTAATACGACGAGGAGAGGAAAACTGTTAAAGTGATAAGCTGTACAGCTGGTCCTATAAACATCTGAGCACTCTCCTACTGAGAAGGCACTCTAAGTTGCTGATTGGACAAAGTATGAAATTGCTTTTCATAACCAAGGAAGCTCATCAGCTTTGAAAATGGTCTCCAGCTGCTCTAAAATGAGGGCCACAGCCACAGGAGGAGATCATGCCTGGGGCAGCATTCCACAGCAGCATCAATTCCAATCCCAACTAATGACTGACAGAAATGAGATCTGCCAGGATTCAAAATTTGGAATAAGAATGTGACAGCTACTTCTGGGAAGCTGCTCAAAGCCAAGCAAAGTTCCTGGCTTCTAAGGGAGGGTCTGCCTTTCACAAGAGAACCTACATACTATTAATAGTTTCAGGAAAAAACCCAAAACCCGTTGCCTTCAAGTCGATTCTGACTCATAGTGACCCTATATGACAGAGCAGAATTAACCCATAGGGTTTCCAAGGAGTGGCTGGTGGATTCAAACTGCCGATCTTTTTGGTTGGCAGCCAAATGCTTAACAACTATGATAATTTCAGAGACAGCCTAAAAATGAGTAGGAAGAACACAAGTTCTACGATGAGGCAGATTTAAATTCAAATCCTGGAACTGCCACACACCAACTATGGGATAACAGGAAAGACCCCTAAACTTTCTGAGCCTCAGTTTCCTCTAACCACAAAATGAAAAAGAATAACACCTACTTTGTAAAGTTGTTGGAAAGTTTTCTTGCTTTTGTTTTTTTTTAAGTCAAGTTTAAGGAGCTATAATTTACACGTAATAAAACTCACTCTTTTGGGGTATAAGCTTTTATTAGCCCTAATAAATTTATATGGTTGCACAAACACCACCACAATCAAGATATAAAATATTCATCACTCCAAAGAGTTCCCTCATGCTACTTTGTAGTCAATGCTCTCTATCCCCCAATTCCTAGCTCTTGACAATGACCTGTTTTCTGTTGTTGTAAGGATTTCACAGGTGTGTGTGTGTGTGTCCCCCTGGTACAATAACTGATCGTTGTTATTATTCTTTCAGATGAGATTAAAATGAATTGGTGAAAAAAGGCAAAACAATCATAAAAATAAACTGGGCTGTGCATATCTTATACCTTTATCTTCTTCCAGATGGAGAGTCCAGAGAAGTGCTGTCCAATAGAACTTTCTACAATAATGGAAATGTTATATATCTGCTGTTAGCCACTAGCCACATGTGGCTATTAAGCTCTTAAAATGTGGCTAGTGCAACTGAGTGAATTTTTTGTTTAATTTTAATTAATTTAAATTTAATCATATGATACTATTCATTCAGAAAAGCATTTTATTCAGAAGAATAGTATTCATTCAAAAGAATACATTTTACAAAGATATCAATATTCCACCACACTTGGAAAGCAGCTTATACTTCCCAAAGCGCTTTCACATTTATTATATTATTTCATAAATCACAGAGAAGAAAATTTTAGAGCTAGAAGTAACCTTAAATTTAGCTAAATTTTACAGATGAAAAAGTGAGGCTAAGAAAAGGCAAATGAATGGTCCAAGGCCACAAAGCAAGTAAGAGACAGAGTCAAGACTAGCCCCAAAACAGATCAAAGACCTAAACGTAAGAGTTAAAACTATAAACCTCTTAGAAGAAAGAAGAAAACATAGGTGTAAACCTTGTGCTCTTGGATTCAGCAATGGTTTCTTAGATATGACACAAAAAGCACAAGCAGTCAAAGAAAAAAATAGCTAAATTCTACCTCAAAACTTTAGTGCTTCAAAAGACACCATAAAAAAAGTGAAAAGATAACCCATAAAAAGGGATAAAATATATACAAATCATATATCTGATAAGGGGTGTGTATTTAGATTATGCAAAGAATTCTTACAACTCAATAATAAAAAGACAAACAATCCACTTAAAAAATAGGCAATTAGGGGACACTGAGCTTCCCTTGGAGCCCTGGTGGCATAGTAGTTAGGAGCTTGGCTGCTAACCAACAGGTTGGCAGTTCAAATCCATCAGCTGCTCCTTGGAAACCCGATGGGGCAGTTCTACTCTGTCCTGTACAGTCCCTATGAGTCGTAGTCAACTAAATGGCAACGGGTTTTAGTTTTGGAGCATCTGTTAAGAGTGATGACAAAATCTGGGAATGGTTTATGGTGACAGCTGAACAGTATGATGAATATATTTAATGTCACTGAATTGTACATATGAAGATTGCTGAAATAGCAAATGTTTTGTTATCTATATATTTAATCCCCCACCCAAAAAAAGATAAAAATTGGCAAAGTAACTGAATAGAAGTTTTCCAAAGAAGATATACAAAAAGCCAAAAACACATAAAAGATACAAATCCAAAGCACAATGAGACACCACTTCACACCCTCTCCAACAGCCATCAGTCAATTCCGATTCACAGTCATCCTAGGATGGCTATAATAAAAGAAGATAGATAATAATAAGTATTGACAAGGGTGCAGAGAAACTGGAACCCTCATACATTGCTGGTGGGAATTGAAAATGATGCGGCTGCTATGGAAAACAGTCTGGAAACTCCTCAAACATAAAACACAGTTACTCTACAACCCAGCAATTCCACTTCTAGGTATATATACAA